TGATAATCACCATTATTCTGATCAATATTGACATTGTGATTATTTCACAATGACAGAGCACTGCTGTATCCAGGCTGCAGCTGCAGGGTGTGTGTGCAGTGACATGACAGCTCACCAAAAGTGTAACCCTAACATCTTCATCACCCCTGCTGGCTGGCTGTTCGTTTAAGAAGCACTTGACTTGACATGCAGCAGAGTTTTCTATGAGCCGAGCACACATTTTAAACATCAATATCGTAGACTTAATTAGTAGAATTAATATTCCATTAATTATGCAGCCCTAGACTGAACCCACACACCAGCTTGTTGTCTTTCTGAGGTTGTTAAAAGTCTTTACTTGTTGTCAGTTAGTGACCCAACTGTCTGCACCTACTGAATATGTTCATATATTCTGTGAGAATCTACAGTCAGAGGAATGTGCCATCTATCTCTTTAAACTCTGGGTGTATTAGGTCATTGTGAGCAATTTAGCAAATCAATAAACATTTCAAAATTGGATCTCTATATAATTTGTGCATCAGTGTAATGAAGTGTCTTTGTTTGTCTGTATTCAATTCACACTGGATCAGACAAAAAATCCTCACTGGTTATTTTATACATTAACACTTTTTAAATAGATTTTTCATAATAGAAGCCATTGAAGTCACGATTGATCAATCAATGGATCAATGTCCAAGCAGACAGTGTGTGCTCAGAGTAAAGCCGTAGATGGTAGAGTAGAGAAATGTATCCTCAGTGTTAACTTCCTCGTAGGATTCATTTACATTCTGTCACCATTGTTTGACTTTTAAATGTCTCTGCTTACACTTTGCATAAACAGAGAAAAGAAGAGATTGTCATGCTTCTCTTCCTCTACTCCCTTTTCTTTTGTTCTGTTTCCTCCATTTTCTTTCTCTTTAATTACATCTTCTCCTCTCGCCCTTCTTCCTCCAGACGACAGTAATAGAATACGTCAAACCGTCCGATCTGAAGAAAGACATGAACGAGACGTTTAAGGAGAAGTTTCCTCACATTAAACTCACTCTCAGCAAGATACGCAGGTAAAGTATTTGAACTGAATCAACTAAAATGCTATTATGTTATTATGGCAGTAAGATACACTTACTTTATTTTTATATACACTTTGCTAAAATGTAAACTACAGTAAAGAATTGCATCATCATAAAACTGTCTTTGTCTGTCTGGCAGTCTGAAGAGAGAGATGAGAATAGTTGGGGAGGATTGCGGCATGCAGCCCGTCACCATCGCGATGGCGTTCGTCTACTTTGAGAAGTTGGTGCTGCAGGGTCGACTCAATAAACAGAACAGGTACTAACACCTGATCCTCATATAACAACAAGAGCTGCACGAGTCTCTGTGCTTTGAATGCAAATATTTGACAGTTTGGGTGATGATGGAGAACTGAAAATTGCAGTAATTCCTACTATAACTAGTCTCAGGAGTGCAGTCTGGATTTACAACAGTTAATGCAGATTTTGGGAAACAACAACAACATATAGGAAAACAAAATGCTGCTGTGTCCACAGTGTGTGGTGTAGTAGTGGCTCCCCCTTGTGTTTGTTTTTAGTTATTGTCATTAATGCAGCTGATCCATCTCTGTCACACACTCCACAGACAGGTGAGAGCTCCTCTGTGTCCCATAAACCCCACAAAGCAACATAATGTAAATGTTCTGGAAAATGACGATTTGAAGAATGATAACCTTAGCTGTTATCTCTCTGTGGGAAAAATGGGCATTGATAGGTGCAAATTAGGCAGCTGTTAAGAGCTGCTGTAAGACTGTGTGTACTGGGTTTTTGGTACTGAGGTGCCTACAAATACTGACTAATTTCCTTCATATTAATATTGTTAGGTAACACACTGATTTATAAAGATATGATGCCACATTGGACGTTGTCCTGTAGTGCCTTAGAGCTTAAATGTACGGCCACACTACACCTCCATCCTACTGCTGTCTCCCATTTACTTCTATTAAAGCCCACACAACTAACAAGATCATTTATTCAGAGTTTATCGTTCATCTTTGTTCAACTAAGCAGATGTGAGCAGTCGGTCAATTGAACGTCTTTAAAAATGGCAGTTATTATTCTAGCTGTTTCATTACCATATTTACATACATACATTATCACCTTACCAGAACACAGAGTGTAGCGTCGCTCTCATCCGAGGGTCTGTGTGTGGTCTAACTCTGCAGAACGACGTCCTGTCACTGACACTGTTGTTGTTTCACAGGAAGTTGGTGTCAGCTGCCTGCATCCTACTGGCTGCTAAGATCAGCAGTGACCTCAAGAAACAGGAGGTCAAACACCTCATCGATGTAAGTCTCTTTCACTGAGTGCATCTGCAGAATGTATCTTGGTTACATTTCTTTATACCCATATTTAAAGGATCTTTATCAAAAAATTATTATTTGATTAGTCAGAATCAAATATCAAGAATAAAATGTCCAACATCCCTCTCTTCTCTACTTAACTCCGGTTTATGTCATTGTAAACCTAATATTTTTCTCTAACCTCTTTTAGGCTAAACGATGAATCACTTCATCTTAAAAAAATAACTGACCTCTCAATCAGTATCCCAAAAGGGATCAGTTGTTTTCTGTAAAATAAACAAAGCGATAAATCCCATCTCAGATTACCAGATCTTAAAATGTCTACAAATAACATATAAAGCATATTTTCAAACTAAATAAACCTTTTCAGTTTCAAATAACGGGGCAAAAAAAATAAAGCAAATCCTCCCATTCAACCTAAACATTAATAACTTCAACCAATAATCAAGATTTCTGAATCAGAAGTATTGATTATTCTACAGTCAGCTCAGTAGTGTTCCAAAACAAGTAAGTAGGTGCCAAACATGACACAATTTGACAAAAAATAGGGAGAGAATTCAAATAGAAAATAAGAAAATCTGTCTCATCAAAGACAAGTGGACACAGGACATTTGACATGTTGTCAGAAAGTATTGTGTCTGTGTCTCACTCTTTGGTTTCTGTTGTCTCTGTAGAAGCTGGAGGAGCGTTTCAGGATCAGCAGGAGGGAGCTGATATCGTTTGAGTTCACCATCCTGGTTGCCCTGGAGATGGCGCTCTACCTCCCTGAGAGCAAAGTCATGCCCCATTACAGGCGGCTGGTGCAGCAGCAGCAGTTATAGCAGCGATCACACCTCCCTCCCTCCCTCCCTC